GTATAATTTCTTTTTCTTAGTCCTTTACAGTAGTGGTCTTATGCAGTATTTCTCTTTTTGCAACTGACTAATTTCACTCAGCATGATTTCCTCAAGGTTCATCCATGTTATGTGGTGGTTTACTGCTTCCTTGTTATTCTTCAATGTAGCATAATATTCCATTGTGTATATGTACCACAATTTGTTTATTATCCATTCTTCAGTTGATGGGCACTTTGGCTGTCTCCACCTTTTTGCTATTGTAAATAGTGCTGCTATAAACATTGGTGTGCATATGTCTTCTGCTGCTATAAACATTGGTGTGCATATACCTTTTGCTTTTGGGTAAATATCGAGTAAAGGGATTGCTGGGTCATAAGGTGTTTCTATTTTCATCCTTCTGAGGAAACGCCATACTGTTTTCCAAAGAGGTTGGACCATTTTGCATTCCCACCAGCAGTGCAAGAGTGTCCCCGTTTCTGCGCATCCCCGCCAGCATTTATTGTCTCCTCCATTTTTCATCTTTGCTGTTATTGTTGGTGTGAGATGGTATCTCATTGTTGTTTTGATTTGCATCTCTCTAATGGCTAGTGATCGTGAGCACTTCTTCATATGTTTGTTGGCTGCCCTGATCTCGTCCTTAGTGAAGTGTCTGTTCATATCCTGTGCCAACTTTTTAATTGGAAACAGTGGCATTTTAAACTTTTTTTATTAGGTTATGGAGTTAGAAAAATATTCCTAATGTTCCAAACATTATTGCAGATACATTGGAAGAACACAGAAATAGAAAATACCAAGCTTGTGTCAGAGGTCCAGACTTTAAAGAATTTAGATGGGAACAAAGAAAATATGATCACTCATTTCAAAGAAGAGATTGGCAGACTACAGTTTTGTTTGGCTGAAAAGGAAAATCTTCAAAGGACAGTTTTGCTTACTTCAAGTAAGGTAAGTACTTTTGTAATGTGTATTTGAAGATCGTAAAATGTAAGCCTGTTAAATGTATACAATATGATTATTTAAAAAATTTACCCCAGCCTTTTCTTTTGAAAAATTATAGAAAAATAAAAAAATTAGGACAGAACAATGAATATATCCTAAAGTATTTTGCCATCTTTATTACCTCATTTATATACTTTTTGCTTTTTTTGAGCCATTTTAACTTCGGTGTATTTAACTCTAAATAATTATGTCATGCATCTCCTGTGAACAGCTGTGTTCTTCTCTATAACCACAATATGGGTATCAAGCCTAGGAAATTAAATATTGATATATGAGGCCATCAAAAAGTTAATAGAAAAATTTTATTATCTTTTAATTCCATTTTTCCATGAACTTTTTGATGCCCCATCTTATTATTAATTCTTGTATATAGTCAACATTCATTTTGCCTTGAATATGGCTTTACATAACCTTTTAAGTCCAGTGGTAATCAAAGATAACACATTTATTTGATTGTTGCTTGCTTTTAGTCTGCTTTAGTATATTGTCTCGACACCTTTTTTGTGGGGAGGGAGAGGATCTTTTTTTTATGACACTGATAATTTTGAAAGAATCTAGCTAGTTATCTGAGTGAATGCCACAAACTGAATTGTTCCACAAACTGAATTTGTCTATTGTTTCATCATGATTAGATTCAGGCCAAACATGTTTGGCAAGAACTAAACTTATTTTGAAACCAAGAATTGGATCTTACTGGGGGCAGGGAATAGGTGTTGTAATTGCGTCTCTGTACTTACAGTGGACTTGGATTAAAAGTCTTGATATTGCTATCTCCAGTTTAAATTCAGTACATTAGGGTTCTTGCTTACACTTTCCTCCATTATGCATTTATATATTTCTTCTCCCATGTGTGTGCCTTTATTTCCAAAATAATCAGTATGTTTTATTTGTGTACCTTATCAGTCATACGCACATATAGTTTCAGCAATAAATCTACCGAGTAAGTAATACATTACTTGTAACTGGATTTAAAACCTGTTTCTAGCAAGTCAGTTCTGTCTCATAGGGTTTTCTTGGGTGTAATTTTTATGGAAGTGATTGGATAGGTCTTTCTTTTAAAGAGCTACTAGGTGGGTTTGAATAAACAACCTTTCAGTTAGTAGCTGAATAGTTGCTAGTTGCTTTTCATTTTCTCAGTGTCTCATTTTTGCTGTTTGCATACGCAATATTTTTAATGATATGGAAAGATAGGTTAGCATATAATATGGGATGTGTTGTGGGTTACAAAGTAGGAAACGTCTTTGAACTAAAGTACTTGGGTGGCACAGAGGTTTTGGAAACTATTTTTGCTGTTAATCATAAAAAATGGTGATAAATTTGAGGCTCAGGTTTGTCAGGTCTTTTATATTGGATAATGCCACATGACTTCCTGTGTCTGTATAAAGTGGATGTCATAATATACATTGGATTGCTATGTGGGGACTCTAAACAAAGATATGTACTTCATCATAAAAAGGAAAGCAATACTCAATGTAAATTTTTGGCTTTCTTGAACTAAAAATAGCTATTGTTTTTGTTCTTACTTAAATGGTTTAATCACAAATATATTTATCTGCTTTTTCTCAGGAAGACCTATTTTATTTAAAGGAGCAACTTCGTAAAGCGGAGGAACAGGTTCAGGCTACTGGGCAAGAAGTTGCCTTTCTGGCTAAAGAGCTTAGTGATGCTGTAGGTGTCCGAGATAAGACGATGGCAGATCTACATACCGCACGTTTGGAAAATGAGAAAGTGAAAAAGCAGTTAGCAGATGCAGTGACAGAACTTAAACTGAATGCTGTAAAAAAAGATCAGGTAAAGCAGGTTAATTTTGAATTTCCTTCTTGGTCACATGAAAAAAATGCTATAACCTTAAGAAAGAATAAGGGACATCCAAGGCCAGATTCCTTGTTACAGAATTTCACATTCCATTCATTGTGTTCAGTCATTGCACAGTCATCAGTTGAAATTAATATATGCTTTAAAAAATTAATATGTGCTTTAAAATTCTTAATGGTTAGTAAAAACTGCTCTATTAGTAAACTTTGATACTTTTTTTTTGTGGATTTTCTCACTAGCTGCATATAAAACACTCATTTCAGAGAGTAATACTTTCTGTTAAGAGAGTAGATTGTTTTTCTTGTTTCTTTCTTTCCTTTTTTAAACAAACTTTAGTTCTAAGAGTATACATATGGATTTATTAGGAGAACTAATGTAGTTCTATTGGAGTCCTGGTGTGGTGCTGTGGGGTAATGCACTAGACTGCAAGATTAGTTTGAACCTCAAGTCAGCAGTTCAAGCTCACCAGCCGATCCTCAGAAACCTTATACAGGGTTGCTGTGTATCAGAACCGACTCGACAGCACTTAACAACAACAACAACAGTAGTTTGTGGAGTGCTGTAGTGGCACTGTAGGATAAGAACTCGACCACAAGGTTGGTTTGAACTGCACAATTGGTTGAAGTACACCAATTGCTTCTCAGAAACTCTACCTATACAGGGTCATTATGAGTTAGTTGTAATTGACTCAATGGCACTTACAACAACAACACTGTAGTTCTGCAGCTAAAACCCTAACACAAATAAAAATAAAAGCCAGAAAAGAAAATGGGGAAATGAAGCTAGAATTCACTTACATTACATAACAGAGTTTTACCATTTTCTTAGAGGATGTGTTTATTTCACTTTTAGGAAAAGACTGATACACTGGAACACGAGCTGAGAAGAGAGGTGGAAGATCTGAAACTCCGCCTTCAGATGGCGGCAGATCATTATAAAGAAAAATTCAAGGAATGCCAGAGGCTCCAAAGACAAATAAACAAACTTTCAGACCAATCAGTAAGTGTTAGTTGAATTTATATGCAGTAAACAGATTTTCTTTTTCATTTTTATTTTCAAATCAGATATATAATGTAAATATCAACCTTTTGGATAACTTTCCTGCTTGATTTAAAATCTTAGCTCTAGTGTTACGATAATTAAAGAAAACAAATCTGTAACTCTGCTGGAAACCAAGAAAGAAAGCAAGGATAGCAGCAGAAAAGACAGGAGCCTGAACCTCCATTTCTAGTCTGTTTTTCTTTTAAGTTCTTGGTGTAAATGTCTTTGCCATTTGAAAACTGTTATTGCATCCCTCCTGTGACAAAGAAGCCTGTAGTCAGTGAGGGTCATGATTAGTCATTCTGGTCATTATCTCTGGGACCTTAGATGGTTGCTCCGTTATCAGTGAGTTCTTCCATCCTGTTCGTATCGTATATCCACTAGATGAGGAAGGGTTACAGAATGTTAACTAATTGTTCTGTATTCCATTTGATGGTGATATATTTGTAATAAAGACAAAGGAAATACTTTTGGTTTTCATGTTTGTATTTTAATGTGGGTCTTTAAATTCTGGTACCTAAATAAGAAGTTTACTATGTAATGAAGTCCTGGAAGTGGTGAAGAAACATCTAAAACATGAAGTAAGGTGATATCAATTTTCTTTGAAAACAAAAATTGTCCTGTACACAGTTTTATTTGTATATTGTGATGCAAATCATGTTTTTCCATACTTTTTTTTTTTTTAAATCTTAAAGGAGACTATAACAGAAACAAGAAGTGGTAAAGTAGGAAACCTTTTGTAAGAAAACACTATGTTTTAAGTATGACCCACATGTAAAATATTTGGATCTTTTAAGCATTTTATAATATTGTGGTAGAAAATCTGTAAAAAGTTCAGTGAGATAATTCCTATAGAAGAGCAAATGTAACTTTTCTTACCTATAATATTCATAATATTTAGGTTAGTTAATGAAGTGATATGTCGCATTTTAGTTTTTTGCTAGCATTTTGGACACTGACAGATTTGTAAGTTCTTCCGGATATCTTTTTATGACTACACTGAAGGAGAGAAGTCATTCATTGACTCATTTGACAATTTATTGTTACCATTTTTATTAGACCAGTAATAATAGTATCTTCACAAAGAAAATTGGAAGTCAGCAGAGAGTGAATGATGCCTCAATAAACACAGACCCAGCCACTCCGATTTCTCCTGTCGTTGCAAGGCCAACGCCTTCTGCAGGTACGCTTTCTCAGACTTTTGTGTGGGGTATTCTGCCTTTTTCCAGAGAGTTTACAAAAATCCTTACAAGAGAAGTAATTGAGGTAATAGGAAATTAAGGTGTAGAAGCAAGATAGAGTCATGTATGTGGTGAATGCACATAGGTGAGTGTGAGCTTTAAGAAGATGGTGGAAAAATAGAATTGAAAGATGGGATTTTCCCACAAGCTTTTTGAAACTCCTTCATCTTTTTGAGAATATTTACAAGGGTTAAATTTAGATGATGACTTCAAGTACTGATTGGGAATAGATAGGAAAAAGCTAAGAGTTGAAATTTTATATAAAACTTCATTAAATTTATAGAATTTAGATGCATTTTAATTGTGGCATTTTTATTGAGCAGTTTGGTGATGGACGGCTGTAAATCTCGTTTCTCTAATTTCTTACCTACTCTGGACCAATAGTGTACCTCCCTCATTTATAGTATCCATTGGAAGAGAAGTGATTTTTTTTTTTAGTTTACTGACGTGTAGAATGAATTGTAGTTGTGACGTGCCTGTATAAGGTGTTCCGAGGAATGGCTAGTGAGTTTGAACCACCAACCTTGTGGTTCAAATGACCTGGCAGTACAGTGTTTTATCTTTCAGCGCCACACCAGGACTCCATAGAATATTAGAGAGACTGAATAAATGAAAAACATGAAAATTTGGTTTAACTCTAGGTTTTCATTTTCATTTTTTCTAATTCCTTTTTTTTAAAAAGCCTTTGTAACAAGTTTACCTTTTTAACTATCTTTATGTGAACACATTTAAAAACTGAGCAGTTCAGTGATGCTTAATTACATTCACCATGTTGTGCTGCCTTTGTTGTTGTTGTTAAGTGCCATCGAGTCGATTCTGACCCATAGTGACCCTGTATAGGGTTTCCAGGGAACAGCTGTTGAGCTTGAACCACCAACCTTTACAGTTCAAATCACTTTGCAATATGACATGTTAGCCCACAGCGCCACACCAGGACTCCCTACATTTTAACAGTCTTGTTTTCCTCCTTGCTATAGCTGAGACTGATTTTGATATTGTAACAAAGGAGCAAGTCTGTGAGATGACCAAAGAAATTACAGACAAAACAGAAAAGTATAAAATATGTCAACAACTCTTACAGGTATGTTAGTTACTTTGTTGACAGAAGATGCATTTATTCAATGTAGATGGTTTAGTTTATGATTACTGTTTTGATTGATAGGTATTCTGGGATTTCTTTTTTATTCCCTTATACTAAGTTTCACACTTGAAGTAATGATGGGGGTTGGGGCATTTTTTGTGCCTTTTTATACAGGACCTCTGAGCAATATGACCCTGAAGTTGTCATTTTCTATTTACTTAATAATCTTTATTTGATACAGAAAAGTGGTTAATTGAGATTGGAAATTACTGCCTTTTATATTGTGTGTTTTATGTGGTGTTAAGTGCTGTTGGGTTGGTTCTGACCCATACCAACCCTGTGTAGAGTTTCCAAGGAGTGGCTGTGAACTGGAACCGCTTATCTTGCGGGTCAAACCAACTTTGCAGTCCAGCACATTAACCCACAGTGCCACACCAGGACGCCTATCTTTTTGTTGTTAAGTGCTGTCGAGTCAGTTCTGACTCATAGTGGCCCTGTTACATGGTTTCTGAGGAGCAGCTGGTGAGCTTGAACCACCGACTTGGAGGTTCAAACCAGCTTTGCAGTCCAAGTGCATTAACTCTCAGCAGCTATTTTGTTACTACTATAAAAATACATGGGAAATGTTTTAATTTCATAAAAATGAAATACTCACTTTATATTTACTGTAATCATAGCAGAGCATTTTGTCACATGCTAAAGTGACCAGATTGGTAAAGTGGAGATTGTAATCTAAATGAGTGTCAGCCTTTTCAGTTGTTATATTTTGACCATTTTAAACAGAATCATTCAAACTTTGCAGTTTTGAAAACTTTCTGGTATCATTCCTGTACTATTTAAAGGATAAAGAGAACATACTTCTCATTTATGCCTGATGTGGGGTAAAGAGGAAAAGATGTTTGTGTATGTCAGTTGTTTTATTTTGTTCCTTAATTTTATGTGTGCGTGTTTCTGTATACCATGGCTAATTGGAGGGGTGTTTCTTAGAGACACAGAACAAGGTTCAAACATCAGTTCAGTGTTACTATGTTGTTGTTAAGTGCTGTTGACTTGGTTCAGACTCATAGTGACCCTGTGTAGAGTGTCCGAGGGCTGCTGGTAAGTTTGAACTGCCGACTTTACGGTTCAGACCAAGCTTGCATTCCAGCACATTATCCCACAGTGCCACACCAGGATTCCAATGTTACTATGGTTGTGGTCATTGTACTGTGAAATTGGTTTCTACTCATAGTGACCTTGCATAGGGTTTCCGAGGCTGTATATCTTTTAAGGGAGCAGAAAACTTCATCTTTCTCTTTCTGAATAGCTGGTAGTTTCTAATTGCTGACCTTGAGGTTAGCAGCCTGACTCTGAAACACTATATTACCAGACATTCTTAATTTAAAATACTTTATGTATTTTTTTCTGAATGATACTAATATAATTTTTAGGTCATGCTTTAAATGGAAAATGTTTATATCTTGAGAGGATTTTTCTTTAGAAAGATTGATTAGAAAAGTTTTAACCTTGACTTTAGAGTAGTTATTTATAAGGGACCAAAATGAAGATACAATATTCCTTCATAAAAAAAATCAAGGAGCATTTTATTTTTTAAAACGATATTGAGATACAATTGAAATCCAGTAAAGTACACATATTTAAAGTATATAATTAGATCACTTTTGGCATATACTGTTATGAAACTGTCACCATGGTGGTATCAAGATAATGATTTCATTGCCCCCTAAAAGTTTTGTCTGGCAATTTGTAAATTCATACTCCTCCCTCTGTTCGTTTCAACAGTTAACTATTTAAATGTCTTTTCTGTAGAATTTTATATAAATAGAACCATGTGGTATGCACTTTTTTTTTTCTTGGCCTCTTTCAGTGCAATTATTTTGAGACTCATCCACATTGCTGTTTGTCTTGGTGGTTCATTTCTTATTGCTGAAATAGTAGTTCATTGTGTGGAGATAATCATTTGTTTATCCATTCACTAGTTGATGGACATTTGAGTACTGATTTTTTGGCTGTTACAAATTAAGCTGCTATGAAAAATCATATACAAGTCTTCTGTGGATATGATCTTTTGTTTCTCTGGGGTAGATTTCTAGGAATGATGTAGTCAGGTAGTATTGTATGTGAATGTCTAACTCTGTAAGAAACTATTAAACTGTTTTTGCATGGTGGTTGTGCCACTTTCAGCAATGTATTATCAGTGTTATCCATTGTAGCCAATCTAATGAATGTGTGTTGTTGTTAGGTGCCATTGAGTAATTTCCGACTGATAATAACTATGTATAGGGTTTCTAAGGAGTGGCTGGTAAGTTTGAACTGACAGCCTTGTGGTTCAATTTGATCTTGCAGTCCAGTGCTTTATCCCACAGCCCCATGATTGCTCATTGTGCTTTAATTTGCATGTCCCCGGTGGTGGTGTTGTTAAATTCTGTCAAGTCGGTTATAACTCATAGCAATCCTGTTATAGGGTTTCCAAGGAGCGGCTTGTAGGTTTGAACAGCTGAGCTTGTGGTTAGCATTCCATTGCTTATCCTGCTGTGTCACACCAGGACTCCATTGCATATCCCTAATTAATATTAATGTATAACACTTTTGTATACATACTGGCCATGCATGCAATTTTTTGTGTGAAATGTCTGTTCAGATATTTCGTCCTTTTAAAAACAGGGTGATTTCTTCTCTTAATGAGTTAAGAGTTCTTTATTCTGGCTAACAGTTTTTTGATAAAAGCATGATAAATACTTATGTATGGTTTGAAGATTGCATATAGGCTATCTAGATGTGTATGTACATATAGATGTAAACATACATATATATAGATACATATTTGTTATTAAGTGTGTTGAGTTGGTTCTGATTCATGGTGACCATATGTAGGGTTTCGAGAAGTGGCTGGTTAGTTTGAACTGCTGACCTCAAGGTTTAAATGACCTTGCTGTCCAGTGTCACACCAGGACTTACACTCTCTCTCTGTCTGCTGTGTTAAGTGACATTGAATCGGTTCCAAACCATAGCAACTCAGCTAGGGTTTCCTAGGAATGACTTGTGAGCTTGAACCTCCAACCTGTGGCTCAAGCTGACTTTTCAGTCCAGCACATTAATTCATAGTGCCACACCAGTACTACCTCTCTCTTTCTGTCTCTGTATAGTATGGTTATTCTCAACATAATAGTAGCATTATTTTTTGAAAAAAATTTTCTTTTTCCTTTGAAATGCTCAAATCAATGATAAACTTTCACCTTGAACAAAAATACTTCAAAGGAAAATAGCCTACTCACGTATTTTCATAATTTGTAATTCCCTTTGATTTTCGGGTTATGTTGTTGTTGTTAGGTGCCATCGAGTCGGTACCGACCCATAGCAACCTTAAGCACAGCAGAAGGAAACACTGCCCGATCCTGGGCCAACCTCACCACTGTTGCCATGCTTGGGTCCATCGATGCTGCCACTTGGCTAATCCATCGAGTCGTGGGTTTTCCTCTTTTTCTCTGACCCTCCACCTTTGTTGTTGTTAAGTGCCGTTGAGTTGGTTCCGACCCATAGCAACCCTGAATAGGGTTTCCAAGGCTATAAATCTTTACGGGAGCAGAAAGCCTCATCTTTCCTCCCGCAGAGCAGCAGCTGGTAGTTTCGAACTGCTGACCTTGTGATTCGTAGCCCGATTCTATGCTACCAGACCCTCCACCTTACCAAACATGATATCCTTCTCCAGCAACTGGTCCTTCCTGACAATATGTACGAAGTATGAAAAATGAAGTTTGGTCATCTTGGCCTCCAAGGAGCAAGCACTCTCGCTGCACTTCTTCCAAAACGGATCTATTGGTTCTTTTGGCAGCCCATGGCACTTTAATATTCTCCTCCAACACCATAACTCAAAGCATCAATTCTACTACAGTCGTCTTATTTTCTGTCCAACTTTCACATGCATATGAGGTTATTGAAAATACCATGGCTTGGGTCCAGGCGCACCTTAGTCCTCAAGTTGACATCTTTGCTCTTCAACATTCTAAAAAGGTCTTGTGCAGCAGATTTGCCTAATGGAATACATCGTTTGATTTCTTGACTGCTGCTTCCTTGAGTGTTGATTGTCGATCTGAGAAGAATGAAGTCCTTGACAACTTCAATCTTTAGTCCGTTGATCAGAATGTTGTTTACTGGTACAGTGGCGAGGATTTTTGTTTTCTTTACGTTGAGATGTAATCCATACCGAAGGCTTTGCTCTTCGATCTTCATCAGTGAATGTTTTAAGTCCTCTTCACTTTCAGCAAGTAAAGTTGTATCATTTGCATATTGCAGGTTGTTAACGAGTCTTCCTTCAGTCTTCATACTACGTTTTTCTTCATAGAGCCCAGCTTCTCAGATGATTTACTCAGCATACAAGTTGAATAAGTATGGTGAAAGAATACAACCTTGTCGCACACCTTACTTAATTTTTAAACCATTCAGTGTTCTCATGTTCTGTTCGAACTATACCTCTTGGTCCAGGTACAGCTTCCTCAGCACAATTAGGTGTTCTGGAATACTCATACTTCGCAATGTCGTTCATAGCTTGTCATGATCCACACAATTGAAAGCCTTTGTGTAGTCAGTAAAACACAGGTAAACATCTTTCTGATATTCTCTGCTTTTCAGCCAAGATCCATCAGACATCAGCAATGATTTCCCTCGTTCCACAGCCTCTTCTGAATCTGGCTTGAACCTCTGAAAGTTCTCTGTCAATGTATGATTGTATCCGTTTCTGTATTACCTTTAGCAAAACTTTACTTACATGGGATATAAAGAGATTGTCCGATGATTCCTGCATTCTGTTGGGTCACCTCTCTTTCGAATGGGCACAAATATGGATCTCTTCCAATTAGTCGGCCAGATAGTTGTCTTCCAAATTTCTTGGCAGAGATGAGTGAGTGCCTCTGGTGCCGCCTCACTTTCTTGAAAGATTTCAATTTTTTTCCATCAATTCCTGGTGCCTTTTTCTTTGCCAGTTCCTTCAGCGCACCTTGGATTTCCTCCTTCAGGATCATTCGCTCTTGATTATATGCTACCTCTTGAAATGGTTGAACATTAACCATTTCCTTTTAGTGTAGTGACTCTGTGTATTCCTTCCATCTTCTTTTGATGCTTTCTGTATCATTCAATAATTTGCCCAGTGAATCTTTCAGTAACAAAAGTCAAGGCTTGAATGTTTCCTTCAGTTCCCCCAACTTGAGAAACGTTGAGCGTGTTCTTCCATTTTGGTTTTCTGATTCCAGATCTTTGCACATTTGGTTGTAGTATTTGCCTTTATCTTCTCGAGCTTATCTTTGAAATTTTCTGTTCAGCTCTTGGACTTCCTCATTTCTTCCATTTGCTTTAGCATCTCCACGGGAGAGAAGTTTCAGTGTCTCTTCTGACATCCATTTTGACCTTTTCCTTTTTTCTTGTCTTCTCAATGACTTTTTGTTTTCTTCATGTATGATGTTCTTGATGTCATCCCACAACTCTTTCTGGTCTTTGGTCTTTAGTGTTTAATGTACCGAATATGTTCTTCAAATGATCTCTAAATTCAGGTGGGATATATTCAAGGTCATATTTCGGCTCTCGTGGACTTGTTTTCGTTTTCTTCAGCTTCAGTTTGAATTTGTATCTGAGCTCTGGTAGCGTGGTGGTTACGAATCGGGCTGCGAACCTTAAGGTCAGTGGTTCGAAACTACCAGCCACTTCGCAGGAGAAAGATGAGGCTTTCTACTCCCGTAAAGATTTACACCCTCGGAAACCCTGTACAGGGTCGCTGTGGGTTGGAACCGACTCGACGGCACTTAACAACAACAGCAACAATTGATGGTCTCTTCCACAGTCTGCCCCTGGCCTTGTTTTGACTGATAATATGGAGCTTTTCCATTGTCTTGTTCCGCAAATGTAGTCAATTTGATTTCTATGTATTCCATATGGTGAGTTCCATGTGTAGAGTTGTGTCTTACGCAGTCTAAAGACGTTATTTGAAATGAACAAATCAGTTTTGAAGAATTCTATCATGCGTTCTCCAGCCTCATTTCTATCACCAAAGCCCTATTTTCCAATCACTGATCCTTCCTCTTTGCTCCCAACCTTTGCATTCCAATCATCAGTAATGGTCAGTACATCTTGATTGCATGTTTGATCAATTTCAGATTGAAGAAGTTGGTAGAATTCTTCTATTTCATCCTCACTGGCTTTAGTGGTTAGTGCGTAAATTTGATTAGTAATGATATTAACTGGGCTTCCTTGTAGTCGCATGGATATTATCGTATCACAAACAGCATTGTACCTCATGACTGATCTGGATATGTTCTTTTTGACAGTGAATGCAACACCGTTCTTCAGTTTGTCATTCCTGGCATAGTAAACCATGTGGTTGTCACATTCAGAATGGCCAATACCAGTCTATTTCAGCTCACTAATGCCTAAGATATTGATGTTTATGCATTCCATTTTTGACAACTTCCCAATTTTCCTAGATTTATACTTCATACATCCCATGGTCCGATTTTCAGTAGATGTTTACAGCTGTTTCTCTTCATTTTGAGTTGTGCCCCATCAGCAAATGAAGGTCCCCCAGCTTTTTTTCCCATGGGCTTTACTCCGTTCATGTTGTCACAGTCAACTCTACTTTGAGGAGTCAGCTCTTGCCCAGTCGCATTTTGAGTGCCTTCTAAGCTGAGGGGCTCATTTTCCGGCACTATATCTGACAGTTTCGGGTTATAGAGAAGAGTAATGTGTAAGAAATCAAACTAGAGATTGTCTTGGTCAGGACATCTCAGAGTTGTTTCTTATTCAGTGCTTGGGACTGGCAGCACATTATAAATACATAATTTTATTTCCTCCCTTTGCATAAGTAATGTGTTTTTTACATAATGTTATAGCATTTATAGAAGTAGAGTAAAATAATAAAAAATGCCCTGTAATCCTAATCACTAGAAATTAAAACTTCACACAACACTACCTACTACTGGCCACAGTGATCCTAAATGACAAAGTAGAACTGCTTCACAGGACTTCTGAGGCTATACGTTGTCAGAGACGCAAACTGTCTCACTTGTTCTTCAGCAGAGTAGCTAATGGTTTTACACTGTCCACCTTTCAATTAGTAGCCCAATGATTAATCCACTGTGCCACCAGAGTTCTTATACACAACTCTAGGCACTTTATATAGTTGTCGGAAACAACTTTTAACACAAAAGTAAGATTGTTGTTAAGTGCTGTCGAGTCAGTTCCGACCCATAGCGACCCTGTACAGGGTTTTCGAGGGTGTAAATCTTTACGGGAGTAGAAAGCCTCATCTTTCTCCCGCAGAGTGGCTGGTAGTTTCGAACCGCTGACCTTAAGGTTCACAGCCCGTTTCGTAACCACTACACTACCAGAGCTCCTTTACACTATGTGTTTTTTTTATTTTTTTATTTTTCAATTTATCTTGAAAATTTTCCTTACCAATTTACTTCATTCTTTTAAATAAATATATGTTTTATTTTGTGGATATAGAATGGTGTATCTAATCTTCCAGAGATAAAACATAAATCATTCAATTTTTATGCTGTTATAATAAGCCTTCAGCATATATTTGTGGAGATGTTTGCTATATGGAATTAATTTTTTTTTGGTAATTATATTGTTTTCATTTAGGATGAGAAAACAAAATGCAATAAATATGCTGATGAACTTGCAAAAATGGAGCTGAAATGGAAAGAACAAGTGAAAATCACTGAAAATGTAAAACGAGAACTAGCTGAAGTAGAGGACAATTATAAAGTAAGTTTAATACTCATTGTATGTTAACTTGAGGTACCTGGTCCTTTCAGTATGTGTTGAATCTTTAATTTTTATCAATCGAATGTGTAGCTTTAATATGGATAATTGAGAGAAATGTTCATCTATAAATAAAAATGTCTGGCTTTAGTTACATTGAATATGGGTCATTAACTATGAGCTGAAGACATAGAATCCATGTACATTGCCATTGTGGCTATAATTCTGTGGATTTTGATGGCTCCTAAAATTGCATGTATTAAATTTAATAAGTAATGCTTATTAATATATGTTGAAAAATTAACATTTCAGTGTTCTCATGTTCATGTGTATGTAAAATTATTTTAGAGTCCTGACATTGTTTTAGGAGTATAATTTAAACACAGGATCAGTAATTTAAAAACTGTATTACAGCTTTTTAAATTTATTGCCCATATGTGTGTGTTACTTGCAGAAGCCTAAATGAAATACTACAAAGTGATACCATCTTAATTGGTAGAACTATTCTTTCCAATATAACATTAAACAATAAACAAGCCCAAATGCTAAGTGACATCATTTATAAAAAAGGAAAAAATAAGCCATCTGTAGCTGATTAATATGTAGAAAGATGATATTCCCCTAAGGAATAAAATACAGTGTTTTGTATTTTAAGGAATATATATATTTGTCTTTCTGTCTGTTTTGTGGTATCTAGAGTCCAGGAAGCTTTAAGTAAAACTTTGTTATACTAGACTTGTTATGAGTGGTGTTCAACTCAGTAGCTATGTTATTTATATACTGTAGCTAAGTTTACCTGTACTTTAGTTTTTTAAAAATATAATTTATTTTTTTAACGTTTTCATTGTGAATTATGTGTTAGTTTACATGGGCAAACATTATCTACATTCATCCTGTCGTATTTTGTTTCATTGCAATGATCACAATCCCTTGCATGCACCATCAAACACCCAAACGGTACCCCACACACAACCTGCCCTCTGGCTGCCAGCACACAGCCCCTCTCCCTCAGAGTCCAGAGTCCCTAGCCGCTCCTTCTGTCCGTGTCTTCTCCTCTGCCTCCATCCCTAGTGTCACTGCCTCCCCAGACAGGGTCTGGCACTTTGGACAAGGTCTTGCAATTCGCTTTTCTCCCTTGATGGTTCCAGGAATCTCTGCTCCTGGACTGCAAAGTCAGCCACTCCCCTCGTTTTGTTACCAAACATTTACATTTACCTTTCCAACACTCACTGTCAGACCTGATAGCAATCATTCCCTATTGAACCACAGGAGTCCTTTCCCCCTCACCTTTTTTTTTTTAATGTTTTATTGTGAATTATGTGATAGTTTACATGGGAGAACATTAGTTTTACATTCATCCTGTCGCATATCGTTTCATTGCCATGGTTACAGTCCCCTCCATGCATCATCAACCAACCAAAGGGTATACACTACAATCCTGTCCCCTGGTCGTCAGCACACAGCCCCTCTCCCTCTCTGTGTCTAAAGTTCCCAGCCGCCTCATCTCTCCACATCATCGTCTCTGCCTCCATTTCAGGCGTCACTGCTTCTCTGGGTAGGGTTCCCCTCTCCGCTCTTCTCCCTTGATGGTCCCAGGGACCTCCGCTCCTAAACTGAAAAGTGAATCACTCCCCTCCTTGCTACAAAACGTCTACCTTTACATTTCCTACCCTCACAATCAGTCCTTATAACAATTATTCACTATTGTATCACAAGAGACCTATCTGCATTTCATTTTTTCATCCTCACCTTTTATAAAATATAATTTTAATAATACCAGTAGTTAATTTTAGGTTTCTTCCATGGGACAGTAGAAGGGATGGCTAAGGTAATTATACTCGTTGGTCCTTTTTGTCTTCATACTTTCAGAAAAAAATGTTTTGAAACATTTATTTCATATTATTATTATTTGGGGGATCCAGTGGATAGTGTTTCAAATGAATGCCAACTTCTCAGGTATGAATACTGAATTGATGTGAATTTTTTTTTTTTTGCATATTGATGAGAAAAAAATGATACAGTAAACAAGTTAATGTGCTGAATTGTAAGTTCAAGTTCACCAGCTGCTCCTCAGAAACCTTATCCTGGGTCACTATGGGTCACAACCGACTCAGGGGCACTTAACAACAACAACCATTGACTAGAACATGAGTCTAGAAAGAAAACCTTTGAAAGACATCTCTAGGGAAGAACCATTATAGAATGTTTTATTGTATCTATAATGCTTGAAGGTTATCAGTGGATAGTTGCTAAATAAATGAATGACTTAGAGACAGAATATTGGAGGTTGGAGGAAGAGAAGAAACAGTTTTCTAACATGGTTTCTGAAGTTCAAACTTGTTGGGCTCTCAGAGTTATGATACCAATTGAAAAACAAAGGAAAATAGGTTTGGGACATTTTGCCTTTATATTGCAGGAAGGGTATAAGTGGCAAACTTGGTATTTGAAAGAGAGAGAGGGTGCGTGCAGGAGTTAATGTTCGTAATTTATACCCAGGGAGGTGATAGTTGAAGGCATGGAAGAAAGTAAGTTTGCAGAGAAGTTAGAAAGGAAGCCAAAGAATAAACTTTGAAGAATGTCCAGGTTTGTGTTTGGTGGGACCAAAAAGAGGAGATCACAAAAAACAGGTCTGGGAGACTACATTATTGGTACAATTTATATAAACCATGAAAAGAGACTTTTTAACAGCAAGGGAAGTGGTCAATAATGTCAGATAGTACACAGAAATCAAAATAATAACTGAGGAAAACACATGAATTTTGTAATAAGAATTGTTTGGATTGTTGTTGTTAAGTGTCTTGGAGTCAGTTCCACCTCATCAACCCTGTGTAGGATTTCCAAGGAGCTGCTAGTGGGTTTGAACTCTCAACCTTGTGGTCCATAGTTCATTGCTGATCCTACTGAGCCACAGACTCTGGTATAAATGGGTCTCAAAAGAAAAGGAAGGAGTCGATAATGACAACTTGTTTCTTTTTTCAGCTTCAGTTGGCACAGAAAGACAAAGAAATAAAAGGTCTAACTTCACATTTGGAAAACCTTTCCAGGAAGAAGGTATTGCGCAATGAATATTCTTTTAAAAATAGAGTATAAATAAGACACTGTGAATGATAATACACGTTTGTGAAGGGACATGTTTTACAGTGCATGGCAAGTTTTGTTTTGTTTTTGAAGTAAAATAAAAACTTTTTTTTTTTCTTCCCACTATGCTATCTTTTTATTGTTGGTGTTAGATCAGTGGTGGGAAAATTACTGTCATCTTAATATCAGCACCTAATTGAATTGATTGTTACTGGATTCATTACCACCATGCAGTTTTTGTTTTGTTTTGTCTTAAATAAAAAAGCCTGTTAGATGATGAGGCAGTAAAACGTATTAGTTTCATTGGGGTTTGATCCTGGGATGCATGTCTTTTTGATATTTTGTGTGATGAAATGGGAAGTATGTCCAAAGCACTTACGTCTAAAGAAGTATAATGGTTGTCGTAATATAAATCCCTTGTGTGATTGAATTTTGAATTGAATTAACTGTTTTGTTCATGGAATACCGTTTACTAACAGAATAAAATTTGGGTGTTCACATTTGGGTATTGATAGATTTTGTAGTTGTTAAGTGTTGTCGACTCTTAGTGACTCTGTATAGAGTTTCCAAAGAGCAGCTGGTGGGTTGGAACCATCAATTTTGTGGCCAGCAGTCCAGTGCGTGTCCTGCAGTGCCACACTGGTATGCTGAGCAAATACTCCAAGAAGTTGGACTGTGTGAAGAATGTGACGTCAGTACTGGGAGAAGACTAACAACGTGTGATATGCAGGTGATGCAGCATAGCAAAGAGAACTTAAAGCACTTTATAATGAAGATCAAAGACTGTAAATTACACTTCAATGTGAAGAAAACTCACAACTGGGCCAACAAGAAATAGGAGTATGTTCATGTTCACAGCATGTTCACCACGTTCACTGCAGGAGTATTCCAAAAGTAAAAAGACAGAGTCAGCCTAAATGCCCACCAATGGAAGAATGGATAAACAAACACTGGTACATACATACATACAGTGCAATGTTGAAGAATAACAGTGAATCTTTGAAATGGCTCTTAAGATGTGTGAACATGGAGGACATTGTGCAGAGTGACATTAGTCAATTATAAAAACAAAACAAAACAAATATTGTTTGAGGCCACTGTTGTAAAAAGTCAAAAGGTTTTCATGTTAAAAGAAGCATTCTTTGAAGGTTACCAGGAGTGGGAGGCATGGACAACTAGTTCACTGGCTAGAGGTTTGTTATTGTTGTTCGGCACTGCTGTTGAGTCAGTTTGAACTCACAGTGACCCTACATAAAACAGCACAAAACACTGCCCAGTCATGTGCCACCCTCATAATTGTTACGTTTGAGCCCATTGCTGCTGCTAAATGTGCCAGTCCATCACATTGGGGATCTTGCTTTTTCACTTATCCTCTACTGAACCAAGCCTAATGTCCTTCTTCAGGGATCGGTCCCTCCTGTTAACATATCTCTGAAGTATGAGAGATTAGTCTCGCCATCCTGGTTTCTATGGAACATTCTGACTGTCACTTCTTCCCACACAGATTTTGTACTTTTGGCAGTCCATGATACTTTCAATATTCTTCTCCAACACCATAACTTAATAACTGCATCAGTTCTACAGTAGTCCTCAATTGTTTTTACATGCGTATGAGGTTAGTGAAAATGCCATGGCTTGGGTCAAGCACATCTTAGTCCTCAAACTGACATCTTCACTCTTGAAGACTTTAAGGAGTTCTGTGCAGCATGCTTGTCCAGTGCAAATCTTGATTTCTTGATTGCTGCTTCTATGAGTGTTAACCATGGATCCAAGCAAAATGAAGTCCTTGACAGCTTCAGTCTTTTCTCCACTTATCATGATGCGATTTATTGGTCTAGTTGTGAGGATTTTTTGTTTTCTCTACATTGAGGTATAATCCTTGCTGAAGGCTGTAGTCTTTGATTTTCATCAGTGTCTTAAGTCCT